AGACAGTGCACCTGAGACCGACACTGTCCCTGAGACGGACAGTGCACTTGAGACCGGCATCATCCCTGAGACAGACAGTGCACCTGAGACCGTCACCGTCCCTGAGACAGACAGTGCACCTGAGACCGGCATCATCCCTGAGATAGACAGTGCACCTGAGACTGACATTGTCCCTGAGACGGACAGTGCACCTGAGACTGACACTGTCCCTGAGACGGACAGTGCACCTGAGACTGACACTGTCCCTGAGACGAACAGTGTGCCTGAGACAGCCATCATTTCTGAGACGGACAGTACGCCAGAGACCGTCATAATCCCTGAGACGGACAGTGCGCCTGAGACCATCATAATCCCTGAGACGGACAGTGCACCTGAGACCGTCATCGTCCCTGAGACGGACAGTGCATCTGAGACTGAGACAGACAGTGCGTCTGAGACCGTCATCGTCCCTGAGATGGACAGTGCACCTGAGATCCTCATCGTCCCTGAGACGGACAGTGCACCTGAGACCGACATTGTCCTTGAGACTGAAACTGCCTCAGAGATAACACTGTCCTTGAGACTGACACTGCTTCTGAGACTTTCACTGTCCATCAGTCTCAAACAGGCTCTGAGCCAGAAACTCTCTCTGAGACTGGCCCTGCGTCTGAGAATGACACTTCCACTGAAACTGACACTGCCTGTCAGACTAACACTGCCTCTCAGATTGAGCCTGCCTCTCAAACTGAGACTGCCTCATAGACCGGCACTACATCTCAGACTGACAGTGCATTTCAAACTGACAGTACACCTCAGACTAACACTGCCTCAAAGACAACACTGCCTCTTAACTTCCAGTGCTTGGGAGCCTACCACTGCCTCTGAGACTGCCAATACCTCTGACACGGAGACTGCCCTTGAACATAATGAAGGTGCCACTACCTCTGAGATTGACACTACCTGGGAGACTGCCCTTGAATATAATGAAGGTGCCAGGGGCTCTGAGACTGACACTACCTCTGAGACTGACACTACCTTGGAGACTGCCCTTGAATATGAGGGTGCCACTACCTCAGAGACTGACACAACCTCAGAGACTTACACGCCCTCTGAAGCTTCCACTGTCTCTGAGTCTGACTTTGAATATCAGATGGCCGCTGCCTCTGAACTGCCAATGGATCTGATCCAGCTACTGCTTTTCAGACATCCACTGTCTCTGAGACTGACACTCCCTAAAGACATATGCCCCTTTTAACTTACAGAATCTGTCCTATTCTTTATATGGTGCAATAAAAAAATACCTTTTTAATTCTACATTTCTTTCTTATTTTCTGTACTATTCTTAAAGGAAGAGAATTCATGCCACAGTGAAGTCCATGGTAGGAGCAATGCTAAATGCAATATGCCACCACTGTGTTTCATGTCTGAAATCATTCCACAGTAAAAGGCAATGCTGTTTTATTTAACTTGTGTTCTTAAAAAAAAAACAGTACATTTAGGTTTGCATTCCAACTATTTGATGCTAACACCTTGCAAGCTAAGTATAATGTTAAAGGAACACTCCACTATTTTTGAAAATAGTCTCATTTTCCAACTCCCCTAGAGTTAAACAGTTGAGTTTTACCGTTTTCGAATCCATTCAGCCGATCTCCGGGTCTGGCGGTAGCACTTTTAGCTGCAGCTTAGCATAGATCATTGAATCTGATTAGACCGTTCAGATTATCAATCAGATTCAATTATTTATGCTAAGCTAAAAGTGCTACCGCCAGACCCGGAGATTGGCTGAATGGTTTCAAAAACGGTACAACTCAACTGTTTAACTCTAGGGGAGTTGGAAAATGAGCCTATTTTCAAAAATAGTGGAGTGTTCCTTTAAATAATATATTAATTATATGGTATTCAATGATGTTATCAATATTTAACTTGCCCAGTGCAGTATTAACTATATTAACTATAAGTAGATTCCATGTCAAGGTTGGAGCAAATTAGCTCAAAGGGAAGAATCAATATTATAATCAACTAATCTGAACATTCAGTATAATTTCATATCGACTATAAGAAATATTATTTTCCTTACCACATAAGGACTTCAACTGTGAATTCAGACATACTCCTCTTTACACATACTGTTTTTCACCTAATATATAGTAGATAAGCATGTGATTTCAGATCCAGCCTGTATTTTGAATGACTTGATTAACTAAATGATCCAGTTATTCACTCATGAAGACGGTTGTTTCTTTTCTGATTGAATCAATATTTTTAATAAATTGGTTGACTAAATGTTTTAATGATTCACTCATAAATACAGTGGTTGCATCTGAATATGCCCGCTTAGTATGTAAAAACAGTGGTATGTCTACATAGAAGTATGCATAAATAATACACAATTATTATTCAAAAGAAGTACTTATTCAGATAGTATCCATTTTTGGAAGCCAGTCACTTGATTCATTCCTGTTGATAGAAGGGTTCAATGATTAATTTCTCTCATGAAGACGGTCATTTAGTTCCTGAATGAATCAGTGTTTTGAATGAATTGGTTGACTGAATGATTCAATGATTCACTCATAAAGACAGTCACTGTTGCCATCCACTGGTGTAATGACATATATGCTGGGATATTAATTCTAATTGGCAATTACATACAAATTATTATTTTGCATTGCTGTAAAACTTTAATGTTGTTTGTCTGGCAAAAGTTTTAGCTCGAAACAGTTTTGGAAGGCAGAGGTGAACCTTGGCTAACAGAGCCTTGAGCC